ACCAAAATAACTTTAAATTAAACCTTAGTAGTAGAAACACTCTTCAAGTATCGTGTTAAAAACAAAATAGTAAAACTAATACTGTGCTACTTACCGTAGTCATGAAATGTTTCCTTTTCTGTCGCTATTTCAGCGTCCGCAAACCACAGAAGTTAGCAATTTAATAAATAAATTTTAAAAAAGTGTTTATGTTAGGAAAATAAAAAGTTTTGATATTTTCTATACTCGCAATTGTGGTGGTCAAATCAGGGTGGGCGACAAAAATTTTATTTCATGAGCCTATGTCTCTCCGCTGACTTTGACCACCAAAATCCGCCATGTTTTTGACCACGCGGCCGCGCGTGTGGTCACAACCATTGAGTTCTATAATAACTGGAGGGGAAACGTCAACAAAATTAGTATAAATTATTAGCGCGCGGCCGCGTGGTCAAAAACATGGCGGATTTTGGTGGTCAAAGTCAGCGGAGAGACATAGGCTCATGAAATAAAATTTTTGTCGCCCACCCTGATTTGACCACCACAATTGCGAGTATAGAAAATATCAAAACTATTTATTTTCCTAACATAAACACTTTTTTAAAACTTTATTTATTAAACTGCCAACTTTTGTGGTTTGCGGATGCTGGAATAGCGAGAGAAAAGGGAACATTTCTTGACTCCGGTAAGTAGCACAGTATTTGCACAATAGTTTTACTATTTTGTTTTTAACACGATACTTGAAGAGTGTTTCTACTACTAAGTTTTAATTTAAAGTTATTTTGGTCCAGTCTTGTTTGTTCTTCACTTAATCGCTCGCCACACGTGGCGAAGCTGTCAAATTTTATCGAGTTTTGCATCTATCTTGTATCATGATTGAATTGAGTTTACCTCCCAAAAATGGGGCATAATTTGTTCATGTTTTTTTTTGAAAAGATGAAGGGAAAGTTTACAACAGAGTTGTGTTGAAATTGAATGCAGTGCCATGCAAAATTAATGAGAACTATGGTATATGTTGTATAATAAAAATAACTATTAAACTGTTTGCATGCCCAATTTGACTGACTGTATAGTGTAGACAATTATAATGGGATTGGAAAGTTGGATTTATACAAACAATTTTAAAGTACTACTTAGCGTTTCTGTAAATGAAATATTTATTGTTATAGTAAACAGGTTACTACTTCAAAACCTAGATAAAAGTAGTGTGTTGAACAATGTGCTAAGATTTGTTTCTACCTTGAAATTTTTGTTCAACAGTAGCTTATGATTATATCATTAATATGCATGAAAAATTAAACATATTATTGTCTCATCTCATTAAATCCATACTTGGTATGATTCCAGGTGATCACATCGGATGCATTGGTTACAATGAAGTTGAATGTAGAAGAAGCAAAAATAGATGGCAAAGAAGTTCTTTGTGTCTTATGAAGAATTAGTAGAAATCAATAAAAAGAATTCTTTAAACAAATTGTAAACAAATTTAAATTTGCTCATGGTCAAGCAACCTAGTCAAAGAAGCAAAGTCTGTCTTCAACATGTTACCTTTCCAATTATGTTTAGTTTCTTTGTACAAAATACTATTTTCGAGAAACTTGATTTGTAAGTCTTTTATTAATATTTTTTTACCAAGAGATAAAAGGAACTACTTCAAAGGCTTGATGTAAAATACAAAGATTTAACAAGTTGTTTATCATTTAATTCCCAAATGTTAGTTTGTACATATAAATAATTAGTATTGGTAGCTGTAAGTTGTTTAAGCAAAACAGAAGAGTAGTAGTGCTCGAAGGGGTTAGCATTTTTGAAAAATTATATCTTGTTCATGACATATATTACACAATTCCAAAAAACTGTAAGTGATGCACAATAATATCTATAGAACTTGATAAATTTCTTAACCTACACTGTCAAATAACTATTTTGCCTTCATGCAGCAATAGACAGTGTTTTTGTCAGAGAAACCAATGCACTTAAGTTTCCAAGTTTGTAATTTCAATGGAAAATTAATGTAGTTCTGTTCAGTAATAGATCCGAGATTCTGCCAAGCTGTTTACAAAATACAAATTACCAAGCAACAGTGTCATGGTGTTTTGAATTTTTTTCTTTTTTGTAGCTCTTCTAGTTCAACATACTTTCTTTATGAGTTTTCAGTAGATTTATCAGGTAATGACAATACACTTATGATACTTATCCATGGTAAATTTTAGTTGACTTATGTCGTAGGACTGAAGCAAACATTTTCTCGCTTCCTTAGGAGCATTTTACACAGATTTATCCATTTGAAGCAAGAAAAATAGGTGCACCAAACTGTTTACAGACAGTCAAACACACAAAAGCATGAAATAATGTATAAGTTTGACGAGATTGACAGGTCTAGTAAAGAATGCCGTTTGATTTTCACTTTTAAAAGGCTAAAATGTCATAAAATAACTTAAATGTTACATCCAAAATATGTTTCTCTACCGTCGATTTTCTTTACTTTGATGTGTGTGTGTACTGTGTTTTTCACGCAATGCTGAAGCATTATTTTCACATGATATGCTGTCGCTATCGTAATTGGTTTTTTCTCACTTGTTTTCGTTCATACAAACAGTATTAGAAATCAGGAGGGAGTGAATATTGAAAAAAATTCTTAAAGTGGAAGTTTTGACCACCAAAATCCGCCATTACCGCCATGTTTTTGACCACGGGGTCCAGGCCCCTTTGCCCCTCCAGGTCTTATAGAGCTCAATGGTTGTGACTCACTTGGGGCCAGATGTTTTCTCAATTCAGTTTCGCTTCGTAATTATTGCTCGCGCAAGCAATGGCCACTAACAGGTTGAATTGTTCGCCATGGCGGTTACTAAATGAAAAATGCAGACATGCGAACAAATAGAGAAAAGGAAAGCTGTAAAGCAGCACATTTGTTTTGATGTAAAGGAAGTTTCTTGTTAGGTTCATTTTTAACCTTTTACTTTGTTCCTTATTCGCTGATATTTGTGCTTTAATTCCCCTAGTTATTACTGTATTGTAAGTCTACATTATTTAATCAATCTTAGCACAAATCTTCGAATAAAACACTTCAAGTTATTGTAACAAAAAACAATAAAAATGGCTGGCAAAAGTTTTAGCTAAATAAAGGACCGATTACATGAAGCAATTTTAGCCCGGGCTAAGTTTCAGCTTCCAGTTCTGTTTATTGCCGTGGAGTTTTGTTTATTGCCGTGACACTTGTGGGTACCGTACGTATGTATAACTCAACAACGAAAACTTTATTTTTGATTAAACGCCAGTGTTTAATTTGACCATAAGAAAAACAATAATACGTCAAAATTTAATATATTTTCAAAATAATGTGAAAGTTTATTTTTAATTAGTATGTATAGGAGTAAACGAAAATCCAATGATTTTGTTCAACTGAAGCACAAATACTTGAGGCCCTGTTCACACGATACCGGATTCGCTGAGCAATCCGATACGAAAAATGCACTCTGTTCACACGATGCCGGATTCGTAAGACGATACATAAGTTTTTATATCGCCCCAGTACTTGTACGTGCAAGCGACAACGACGATGGTTGCTAATTCAAGTATTACGTAAGAAAATGAGAACTTTTTTGACAGATAACTAAGTAGAGTTTTTTCTTAGGCGTAATAAGGTTTTTTACGAATGGGCGCAAGGACTGGAAGAGTGTAAAGTCCAAATACAACCGAATATATGTTGCCATTACAATAACACTAGAAAGAAGCTTTTCACACTGCGATAATACATTGTTAAAAGCTTAAACATGCCATGTTGAAGATATATTATATTTGCTTGCGGATTATTCATTTAAAACATAGTTTGTATCGCTATGTTTGCTTTCATTTTTGAAAAATCGCACGCACTTCGTAGTTGCCAAAGTGGAACGTATATCGGATTCGAGCGTTCACACGACAACGGAACGTATCGGATTGGTTTTTATACCACTTCCACAGCGGAGTGAAATCGCTCCGGGAAAACGATATAAAGCGTATCGGATTTCAGCGGGGAGCTGTATGAACGCAAGACCTATCCGGTACGAAAAGTAATCCGGTATCTAACCAATCCGGTATCTTGTGAACAGGGCCTGAATTCGAAATAAAACTTGTTAGTGGCGTATCTAGCGGTTTCATTATTTTGTGTGTCTCAGCCTTTGGTTGCGATTAAAAATTTCCAACTCATGAAATATATGTCCATCGTGTTTTTATCATAGAAAATTGTTACGGTTATTTTAGTGCTTGTTTTCTGACTGTTGACAATAAAGATTTTTGATGATTTCGATTGATATTAATCTCATTTTACTTTTCGCTTTTTGTTTAATGCCTTTCTAGCTATATGTTTGTGTTTATCGTGAAGCTCATTTCATAAAATTTTTGTAATTCTGTTTAAGAAGCTTGGGTAAATGCAGAGCGTATGTGAATGAGAAGTCACCGTCATAATAAACAAATCGTGTTTAGAATGAACATTATAAAGTACACCGACAATATTTATCACATTGACATATTGATGGTTGAATGGAGAATTTTAGTGGACAAAATTTGCGGTTGCGTGAGAAAATTGTAAAGATAACAGTTCTTGGTGTTCGGCACTTAACACCCACCTTTAATGCATTTCATTGTTTGTTGCAAAAATGACATTCCGCTTTTTTCGCCATGAGAGCTAAGAATTTCATGTGTGAATATTGATGATTTGGAATAACATTTTCATACGTCATCATTTGGATGGAAACAAACATGAATTAAATGGATTTTCTTGGGTGGGAGCAGGGAGTATCATCCCAAAGTTTCATATTTTTTGTCTCTCTAAATAAAACATTAACCTCAATAAGAAATATTTTTACCCCCAAATTTTTGCAAAACAAATCTCTAGTACAGTTGAGCTGAGTTTTGTTGTCTGGAGCTCAAATTTGGCTTAAAAAATAATTAGGTTTGTATTGCAGGCAGGGTCGCCTCCCAGTCCCATCTATTATAGTTCAATGTGCTCAACAGAACATGAAATTTTAAACATAAATTCTTTTCAGTTTCATTCACATTGACACTGTATGCAATATGGAGTTTGTACCAACGTGGCGACCGATATTAAAGCACTCTATTATTGCCACATTTTGATTAAATTTCGCTGGTCATTTTCTTTGAGCACAACTATCAGTCTCTAATGTGATGGAAGCAAGAATAAAATCAGCTTTGAGCATAGTTGTGCATGTTTGGGAAGGCGAAAATGAAACATATTTTATTGATGCATTCAAGCACAAATTGGAGACATTACGCGAGAATTCGTCAGGAAATCTTCGCAAGGATTCGCCAAGAAATCTTCGCGACAGTTTTTGGCACTTTCAAGAGGGAGTTGTGAAGCTAAAAGTTTTGGAAGGGCGTGCTGCAAAGCAACCATCGTTGTTAACACCGGAAACAACAACATCGTTATCTCAATCTAAAACGCGCTTTGAACTAGCTGGAAAGAGAGCGAAAGAAGCATTGGAGGATGGGTCTTTAAGCATCGAAGATAAGATAACAGCAAGCAAGATTCGCATAGCAAGCGCTATTCTTCAACACTTGGATAAATGTGAGTTAGCGACAAGAGATTTGTTGCGATGCCTGAATGAATTAAACTCATCGGTTGTCGCGGAAGTAAAGGCCAAATCTCAAAAAAACTTAAGAGACGAAATCCTTGACAGTGTAATACATATCAACGTCAATTTGGCCGATTTCATATTTAATCACACTTACAAGAGAATGTATGTTATGGAATGGCCCTTGATTCAATATGGCAAGCAGTTGATTCATCCTTTCTTTTTCAAGAACATCAATGAAATTACTGCCACGTCACTACCTTGGTACACAACTGACCTTCGTAAGAATATTGATTTCTTTAACAAGAAAATGATCGTAAACAGAGAAGGGGAATTACTTGTTTTTGATGGAAATGAATTGCAAAAGCTTGACAGCAATAGCGAGAAGTTTCAAACATGGTGTACAGAAGGTCTGAATGTTGAAAATAGACAAGTTGAATGCATGAACGTTGATGAAAATGGCATGGTATATCTACTTTTATATGGTAAAGACCATCCGAATGGCAATTATGTGTTGAAACTTTGTTTGGAAAACAGAATTGTTCAAAATTGTTCTTTGCATTTTCTTAATGACAAAAACTTTAGTAAGATTTTTCTAGCTGCCACGCCCAATGACAAAGTTATCCTTGCTACAGTTAAAAGTTCAGAAGGCAAACGAAGTGAAATCAATATATATGTGTGTGACAGTAAAGGTGAACTTATTAAGTCTTTTGTACCAAAAGTTGATGATGAAGTGAAAAGTTTGTCCATTTCATCCTGTGAAAATATAGCAATTTTGACAAATGCATCTGGCCAATTTTACCAACTCATCTTTTTTAAGTTGGATAAAACGTTTGTCAAAAAGATAAAATTTCATCCACAAGTTGAAGAAATCAAGGCATACACTACTCAAGTCATTTACACTCCCTTTGACAACACTATCAAAGGTTTTTATTTTAAAGGGGACAAATCACACCTTGTTATTGAAACTTTTTCCATTGAAACCAAAAAAATAAAATGGTTTGTAATGCTGAAGAATACAGGATATTGTTCAGAATTATTTGATGGTTTGTTTCGTCTTGTTCATCATGCAAATGGAAAGGTGGCTTTGCTTTCAAGTAAAAGTATAATTTACATAATCAAAGGGAGCAGTGAGCATGATGCCATGGAAGTGAACTTGGAATGGAAAGGTATTTATAAATTAAAGACAGATTTAGTCTCAAGTTTGAAGAAAGGTTTGAGTGATGGATATTTAAGGGAAGAAACCAAAACATTTTTTGTTAACTCCAAAAGATCACTCATTTGAAATAACTGACTGCTATACAACTGCCTACGACTCATAAATTTTGAACAGATATTCTTCTTTAGCAAATCTAAATTTCAGGTCAAACCAGGGGCGGATTCAGCTATAGGCAAAATAAATTACTTCAACTTAATTATTAGGTAATATTTATTCTTTAGAAATTCATAACCGATTACTTTTATATAAAGGTATTTTAAATTTAAAATTAGTGGTTATAATTTATTTTGCCTAACCCTGGATCAGCTACTAGCTCAAATATTATTGTATTTGTCTACATGACATTTTTATATCATTTCCTTTTGGGATTATGTCCCCCTAGTTTATAGACATGAAGTAAAACTGATGGTACTGGACGATTATGCTTTACTTAAATGAATGTGTTTCCACTCTATTTTTTTGTGTTTGATTGTTAAGATATTTTAATATTTCTTTAGAAACCAATTCCCCGCATGCAAACACTTCAACCACAGCAGTTATGAATTCAGAGCCATCAGGTAAGTCATCACAATACATTGCAAAAATCAAGCAATTCAAAATATAGTGAATTTTCACAAATATAGTGAATTTTCACTTTTAAAAGGCTAAAATGTCATAAAATAACTTAAATGTTACATCCAAATATAGTGCTTAGTGAATTTTGAATCGTATAAGGAAAAGGATATCAACGACATTGAAAGTAATCACGTATATTAATAGCATTATAAATGGTTAACTATTTACAATGCTTGTTGTACATCTAGGAAATCACGATGCTACAGTAGTGAGTGATGTTGCCGAAGATAGTGATCGCCGGGGAATTTCTGAAATAATATATCCTGTATGGCTGGAGCTTGGTAGAATGCTGGGCATACCTGAGGAAAATTTACAAGGTAGCATTGCTGTTGTTGTCTAATTGTATATACGTAAAGAAATTTGGAGAATGTTTTAAAGACTTTTTTCTTTCGCTCAAAGAGAACTTTCCTTGCCAAGTTTTCAGAAAAAATAATTGATCTATTTATGAAGTTTGGAGCACTTATTTTCAATTTGGGAAGAGTATCTTAATAAACATCGCAAATATACATCTTATATATCGGTTGCGCATCCTCGTTTATTTAACTGTGATAGTTTCTCTTTTAAAGTATACGTTAGAAAATGTGTCATGACATGTGAAATGTGTCATGTAAACCAAATAAGTAAATTTACTTGGTTTACAATAAGTAAATTTACTTATTTGGCAAAGTCTGCAAGAAATGAGAATTAGTTTCAAGAACACTTATACACTTTGACCAAATGTAAACGAAAAAATTTTTATAAATCCTTTGTAGACCCAAGATGCAAGACTTGTTTCTTTTTGGTAGATAAATCGTCCGCACTAATCTATTTTTCTCACTTTTTAGATAGTTTACCTGGTGAAATAATAGATGATGAAAATTGTTATGAGCATCATGCCCCTCAACAATTACCAACTGAGTCTGATCTGGAATCATTTCGTTCAAAAGATCAGGCATTTCAAATGCTGTTGCTTTGGGAAAAGGAAAAAGGAAAAGATGCTACTAGAAAAAAAAATTGGCAGATGCCTTAATCAGTATAGGTCGTCGGGATCTTTCAGAGAAAATATTACCAGGTATTGCCTGTTTCATGAAATACTCAAGCGTTATAAATGAATACTATCGTCATCGACATAAATATGAGTACACAGCAATATTTACTCTTAAATCGTAATTCGACTGTAATTTGTATTATTTTATCTGCAGAGAAAAAGTGCTTAATACTAAAGCGAAAACCGTTATTAGCGGTTATTAAAAAACTTATCATTTCCTAAAATGTAATATTCACCACAATATCACAGAACAAAAATCATACAGAAGGCTCACTCAAGTGTGCGCTGCGTCCTTACGCCCGCCATCATTCCAGCAAGATACTTAAGATTTTCATTTGTTTCCAACGACTCCAATTACATGACGTCATTTCTTCACGATGAAATCGAAAGTCTTTCAATATAAGAAATGACGTCGTATCTTTTTAGTGGTTGGAAACAAGTGAAAGCGCTAAAGATCTTGCTGTAATAATGGCTGACGATATGCACGGCACAACATAAGCGAGGACAAAACATCAAAGGCTTCGATATGAGTGAACCTTCTGTATATTTCATATTCTGGGACACTATGCTTATGATCATTTGCATCGATCATCAGGTGATACAAAATAAAGATAATTGTAAGTTTACGTACGATTGGTCGTTTTTACATAATTATTAAGCGGATATTAAATCAATGAATTCCTCTTAAAAAACAGCTTAGATTGTTTATTTACGTTCTTTTTTCTGTCAGCCTTTCACATTGAAGACAAATATAACAACTGTGTGAAATCGGTGAAAAACATTCGGAATGAAAACGAGACGGAGTTGTTTGAATTTTCCTGGGATCGGAAGAAAAAAGAAAACTTAAATTTGAGCATTTATTGCTCATTAAAGCGAAAACGAAAGTCATTAGAATGATGTTAATGTCAGTAACACGTTCTAAATGTTAAATATCGCCAACTTACATTCAACTGTACCAATGAACTTATTTTATAGCAACTTCCATTTATTGCAAATCCATTGGAGGAAACAGATATTATAGCATTATTTAAAAATTCATATAAGTATTAAATATGTACAATAACATTTCCAAGAGTTAAATTGGATGAATTGATGAATTAAGAGTAAACGGTGAAAGAAATTAAGTAAGAACCACTAAAGATTCAATATGAACAGAAGAAATTTCTAAATGTTCTTTAATCCTTTAGATGATGTTTACGCGTGATGTTTAAAAAATCTTGACTTTTTCAAATTTCCCAGTAGTGAAAAACAAAACAACTTTTCTTGCTATTTACCAGTTAAATGTGTGAATTTTTTAGTGCTTATCACAAATGACGTCATACCCGTGTGTTTAAAACTGAACAGACAACGGCTAAATGTCATCTCTTTGTTAATTATATTAACTGTTCAATCACCTGATGATCGATCACAATGGATCATGAAAAACGTTGCAGTGAAAAATTACATTTTTAGCCTTTAAAGAAGGCACGATTTTTTTTCAAACGTGTTTTAATAGATTAGAATTTTTCTTGGGTTTTTCTTTCATGGTGTAAATGAAAATTTTCTAGCTTAAGCTCGAGTTCTTTAATGAAAAGTCTAAACTACTGTCATGCAGGTCACACAGCCTGGTAGTTGCTGTCATTGGTAATAATTTTTCTGGCAGAAAAAATAAAAGATCACATTTTATGTTTTTTGTATGATAATTTCAGCGAATATAAGTGTTTGCATATTTTGTGGTCGTTGAAAAAGTTTGTTTTTATTTAGATCAAAACTGGGTTTACAATATTGAATCCAGGGCAGTCGTTTTAGATAATTGGTTGCAATAGTAAAGAAATTTTGATTTTTTAATATTTTAGGGAAAAAGAAAGCAAGAATAACGACATCCAAAGACAAGCAACAGGTATATAATTGACACAGAAATTCTTTGTATAGGGTCGTCGAGGAGGGAGGTGTCTTAAGTCATCCTTTTTACTCACATGTGTCGTCAAATGAATGCCTTTTACGTTGTTATAAATTAATGATAATGACTACAAATATCAGGAAACAAACTTTCTTAACACTTTTGCCTGCTTAAATACAGTAATAACGTTGAGATTTTCCCTTTTTCATTGAGCACTCTTTTCAGTGCAAGATATACAAGAGATATATTTTTAGGATCAAAACTATTTTAAATCTCTCTTAACATATAAATAAAACTAAACTCAATTAAACTATTAAGAAACAACGACATATGCAACTAAAATTTGTTTTTGGTAAACTTTTCCTTGTTTTCTTTCGATCTTATGTTTTACTATGCGGTTTGCAATTTAGTGCTAGAAACTACTGAGAGCCTTTTCCTCCTAAATCCTTCTAAACTGATATGCCTAAGTACAATTTGTTTGACTTTGCCTTGGTTCAACTATTTTACTTATTTTAAGTATCTGCTTTTTACTTAATATAAACGTATGCTTTAAAAAGTCTGAAGTACTCTATTTAAAATTGTTTTTGCTTTTTACCATCAAGGCTGGGGCTAGTTATTTTTATTACAAATATTTTTTGTTTGTTCTCTATATGACGATTTCAAAAATTTTCCACTAATTGCTTTTAACTATTGTTCGTAAAAATTGGAAAAATTAAAAAAAACTTAAGTAAAAATTAGTAATAAATAAAGTTCTACATTTTTTCAGTTTTTTTATTTTGAATATTTTAGGAAAAATACCAGATTTACAATACTTGGATTTTAAAAAATTTCTTTATTACTTTAAAATCCTAGATTGATATATATCTTTGATCTTGGAAAGAACGTGTAGCTAAATTCTAATAATTTACTTGAAGAATTGATTCTTGGTTTTTTCTTTTTATTTAATTTAGTAAACTCTATTAACTCCAGTAAACTTGGTCTTTCCCTACAAACATATTTATTATAAAAAGCAACTTTCTTTTTTACGCTGTGGTTCACTTGCTCTACTTTTATATTTTTTATAAAGAAATAAAGTATGATGGTACTGCTGATGCTAAATCCCCTTTAAATTTACCCGTTCATACGGAGAAAAGAAAAAGGTATGCTTATTATATTAGAAGGTAATTTACAATATTTAGAACTTTATTACATGAATTCTTCAATATTCAGAAAGAGGAGAAATCGTGAATTTACTTGTAATCTAGATCAAGTTGATTCCATTTATTCTTCAAATATTCTAAAATTTTTGGTTATAAATATTGCTCATTGTTATAAAACTAAACGGTTAGAACATTTTGCAATCACAGATAACGCAAAATCTTGCAAATTTTGGTGTTATTTTTAGATTGTATTATTTCAAATTACACATGTTACTTTTGTGACATTAAGATACCTTAAAAAACTATCATTGATTGCAACAAATTTATACACGAAACCTCAAACGTAAAGCACATCCAGGTGTCTCACTTTTCCTTATTCCTTCCCATACAGTTTTAAAGGGAAAAATATGGAAGAAAAAAGCGAAAATTAATTAAATTGTATTCTTTATTGACCATTTTAATATCACAACTATTTTAAATCAAATTTGAGAATAATCATTTTGACTACATAGATAAACTATCTCACAAAAAACTCTTTGCTTAAACCAAGTAGTTTACTGCATAAAGTAAGATTCAAATCTTAGAACATATTTTCGTTACATTCTTTATGCGGCAATTTTTTTTTAACGCACAATATCAAACGTTTAACAAATTAAAAAAAATTATAAAAACTTAGAAGGCATAAAGCTTAGGAGGAAAATACTTCCGTGCATAATTTTGATCTTAAGACAATAAACACTGGCATGACAACATTTACGCTTGAAACAATTTAGTTCAACCAATATTTTCATATCTGCATTAGGTTGCACTATTTTACATGTGAAATTTGTGAATCTCCTTGCATGCACTTAATTTAAAATCTGAACAAATTTTCTTAAGGCAAAACTTGATTATACTTCTTTCTTGCCATGGGTGAGAAACGAACGAGTAGCATGAAAAGGTTATAAATTCAACATGCAGTATTTAACGCAAACCATATACGAAGATGCATGGGTGTTATTGTTGTTGTATTACATAGATATACTAAAAGGCATGTTATGCCTTCACTAATCATGATGACGAGTAGAATTAAAATCTATAACTTCGATTTAAGGTATATCTTGCTCAATTTTTTGACTCCAACTCTTCATCAGCTACGTCACTACATAGATACATGATACAAGTTTTGCTATGTACTATTTAAATTGCAATTATATAAACTATATTTACGCCTGTGTACTTTTTTATCATTTTTACACACAAAGACAGTGCGCCTATGAACCTTACAATAATTTTAAACGTATAGCGTTTTATAAGCATTATTCCTTTTACGTCAAAGAATTTCCTAACGGTAAATTCTAATCTGTTAAATTTTAAATAGATGCACTTACTAATAATTGAACTCAATCAATACCTATTATATATTAATGTTTGAAATGTCTTCTACGTTGCTTTTAATATCTTAAGTTTTTTTAATTCCCAATAAGTAGATCGTAGGAACAAATCACATTTACTTCAATACCCAATATAATAGATATTGATGTCAGATTCAATGCGAGTTTTATACAGCTGGATATTGTTACACAAACACCAAATATTGACCCTACTTATTGAAGAAATGCAAATTTGTTGTCAACTATTCCACTTCCCTCATTCAGTGGCGTAGCCAGCTCGTAAGGTTTGGTCCTGTTATGTAAATTTTAAACATCTGCATTATTTATTTCTTTAGAAATATATTGTTTTTACAGTGAGTGAACACAGGAAAATTAACATAGCAGGTCTAAACCTGCTCGCTACATACGCCACTGTCTTCATTCATCAGTTCTCTTCATGAGTCAGTTACCTCATTACAAGTTTTTTAGAAACGTTTTAATTAAAACTGAGTTGATTCCACGGTATTGCTTTTTTAGTACGAGTTCAGAAGCAAAGGCTTTTAACAGAGATATCAGGACAAATTTAAGCGGAGTTTGTACAAATGATCAAAGTAATGAACAGGTAATTATTTCAATTCAAAACTTTTTTCATTATAACTACAATTTTTCAAATTAAGTATTAATCATTAGTACATTCTTAGTGTCTAAGGGTTGCATGGAAAAGAGAGGGAGATGCTGACACAAAGTTCTCCGATTAAAGTTTTAAGTGAAATTTGTCGCAAAATTCAAGAAACTCCGCGGAATTTTTTGTGTGATGAGATAAAATACTTATTTATTCACATGCATGAGAAAGCGTATTTTTATTTTAAATCCTTCATACCAAGAAAGAAATTGACAATCGCAGTTGTGAAGCCGTTGTTCTCGCTGGAGGTATAAGGACGATGCCATTAAATAAACTTCACACTTTTTAATAACTAGCTGCTTTAAGCAAAAAAACAATAATTTTTCATGTTCAAAAATCACTAATTACATCAAAAAAGGGCATGTTTTTAAAAATGTAAAGTAAATCTGTTGACAAGTTGTCAATGGATGGAAACACTTCAACCACATTTACTTCTTATCCAAAAATATTTTAGCTTGAATTTGACCAAAGTACTGGTATATTAAAAGTTGTAACGATCGAAAAAACACATAGTGTTGAAAAAGAAAAAAGAGATAAAGATTCTTATACAGTTAAAAGGTTTGTGTCTAATGTTTATTTATTGATTATTGTGTTGTTGAAATCAATCTGCTAGATTTTGTATGGTCTTACATGGTGAAAGTTTTCTAATTTTTTTTGGTCAGTGTAATTCTAGAAAAAGACATTCAACTGTGTTTATGACTAAGAAAAGAAAAATAGTTTTCAAGCAATGCTTTCACTTTACTTCATGTATTGCTCTGTTTGAATATATCTGCCTTATTATTGTTTTGAACAATTTCCGCTACTGTTTTCATCGCTCTAAAGAAAAATACAAAGCCAAGAAATTATCAAAAGATTGTTATGATTCTTCAATAATCGTGTCTTAATTCATATAAGATGATCATAGAACACTAAGTTCTTATCTTTTTCACTTTTAGTAACTTCATTTTTTAATAAGTGTGTCAAGTAATACGAATTGTATCAAGATTACCATGTTTAAAATATCTCTGAAGTCTTTAAAATTTGAATATATCTTTTTCAATTTCCATTATCAATTAGTTCTTTTAATGATTAAAATACTCAAAATAAACTGTTTAGAGAGAACACACAACACCGAAGATTTTGTCTCACTAAATGAAAATTTATTTCATATTCCCTAACAATTGGTTATTACTGACTACCTGGAGCTAAATAGTTGGCGCTAATATCATGATAGACAATATGCGTCCGATTTTCTTCTCATAAAGTGTTTCAAACCCCGTATCGGTCTTAAATACACTAATGCTCTTTCATAAGACTAAACTAGATGATAACAGGCTGTTATTCTGACACTTCAAATTATTTAAGCAAAGCAAATCAGACATTCCGTATCTTCTATTTCTCTGCAGTGCATTATAAAACTTAAACACGTATTTAATGAGAAATTGCCAGTCTACACAAAGAGCGCAGGTGCCGGTAAAATATTTTGACACCACGAAGCCCATATACCATCAATGCCAGTAGACCGTGGCATCTGAAAATGCTAAGAAACTGTTTGTAAGAATGGGCATTCATTACGCCATTGTTTTGCAAATCTCAATTGTGTAATAGCTTATATTCAAAATGCGAATCAAAGCCAATAACAGCGCGTTCAGATTGAGTGCCGGAAAACGGTAGCCTGGTTCGGGCACAAACCTGCAGGCCGTTTACACTACGTAGTACCCAGTAGCTTCGTTTATTTAAAGTTTCATGTTTTTCACTGTACACAAGTTTTAAAAACGTGTGCTTTTCTGTACACGTTATTCAGGTGTCGTCGTTCACATTGGTGCCCGTGCTCAAGCACCGTACTTG